GAGTCATGTGCTAGCGCTTTGGCAACATTCACACACACCACTCCCAGCTGTGATCTCAGTCCCCCCTCACCACTAACCTCCCCTGCCCCCCTCCCAGACCCCAGACTTATGTATGCTGCTCCACTTCACAGTGCTTGTTGTGTAGGCTATGTATTTATGTATATTTACATCTATTGGTATGTTTGTGTGTGGCTGTACATGTGTGCTTAAATATAATTTCATGTGTACTCAGTGTGTGTATGGTGAAGATAGGTGTGTGTAACTCTGTGTTAGGCTTTATGTGTGCATTGAAGTGAGCATGCGCTTGTCGTGGCAGTGATAGGATGGACCAGTTAACCAGCCCCAAAGCCTCCACAGAGCCTCAGGATAACGTGAGAGTGAAAAGATCAATGTTCGGAGCGCTTGCTTATCCCATCGTCTCTTTCATTCCGAGGTGTGGCTGCACTCACAGCCACTGCTAACAAGTTCAGGCTGTTGGGTGGGCCTCCCTCTGCCAGCTGTGTGTGTGTTGGGGGGTTCAAACCTTTCTATAAGGACTAAACCTCAATTGTAGTAGTGGGAGGATTCAGCAAAACCCCTAGGAGGCTAAATTACCTTTGGATGGGCAGTTATCAGATCCAACCTTTTAGTTACAGTACATGTGTCTGTCATTAAAAAAAGATGTTACTGTGCATTTGACTGAAAGATCAACTACTACTTGTATAAGTTATTCATGCAAATATTATTGAAACTCAGTGAAAAAAGACTTACCAAAGCTGCAGCTGGCTCAAAACATCAGACAGACATTAGTTTACCAATAGATGCAGAAATAACAATGGCTTCATGATTTCTTGATGAATATTATGGATACTCTGTCTGGATTGTCTCTTCAGTCAGATAGCTTACAAATCATACTCCCATATTTACCCAAACACACACAATTCCAGGAGTGTCTTTACAGTCCCCAGGCATGGAACAGAAGCAAGTAAACACAAGTTAAAGCGCCCCTGCCTGCTACATCACAAACATGCCCATGGAACAAGGCTGGCAGGTTCCACGCATGCACAGCTGGATCCCATCAGATGGGATAGGCATAATGAGGCGTCCACAGAGCAAGCAGTTCTTTATTGAGAAGGACAGAAGGGAGAAGAAAGGTGGAAAGGCTGCAGAGGAGCCCAGTCCTTCTAAACCACCAACAGGAGGCCGCTAACCGGAGGCTGTCTCGATAACACTGCCACCCAGTCACAGCAGTTTGTTTTCTGTTGGTAATTACTTCTTCCTGCTCACACTCTTGAACCTTAACCTCTAACCCCAATTATAATTTTACACCAAACAAAACAACTGAACTAATAATAAACATTGTCTTTATAGGATAATATATTAAGTTAATTCTATAATATTGTCTCAGGGTCTTTTGGTTCATCGATAGTAAAACTAATTTGACTGTTCCTCACTCGCACACATGGTTCTGTTTAGTAATTAGTAGGGTTTTTAAGTTGGTCTATTTGTGTCTCACTTCTCTACTGTATTATGAAAAACGTGTCATTATGAAAAAGGAGTGCCTACAAATGAATAAATTTGGAATTGTGAAATACAAGTCCCTTGAAATAAATAACTGTTGTCTTATGGAAAAAGTAATTTTGAAATAAAACATATTTCTTTACATATTCAGCGCAAATAATTTGATTGTGCACGTCGCTTGTGATCTAAAATGTTTTAGCACTACATCAAAATAGGACACACAGTTTGATGGATTTTCATTTATTCGATTTTTTAAAATGTAAACGCCATAGCCTGTGCATTTTAAAATCATGCTTTTTTGTATTTTATGGTTACAAGACAGATACATAGTATTTTAGTTTTTTTTTTACTTCATAATTCATCGTTATTCATTTCTGTTAGGATAATAATAACACAGTAGATGATCTGATGCTGTTGATGGCAGGTTACACAGTGGATGGCTGGAGAAGCTGCGGATGAGAATGTAGGTGCTAATTGGGATGATTCGTATGTTAATGAGGCTGGCGGGCGCGGGGCTCTGGTGCATAAACAGGGGTGCAAACTCATCAGGGGTGAAAAAGGTGACAAAGACCGAACCCCCCTATAGCATGCCCCCGGGAAGAAAGAAATATCAGCTTGAAAATGTGGCTTTACAATCGATTTTATCACGAGGATATAGGTAAAAACTCCTCTTGGAATTTCTGTTGAAAAGTGGTGGGGACAACAGATCAGATGAAAAAACATTACAGCAGGACGGGAAAAATATTGAATAACGGCGCATCAAAAATGTGCATAGTGAGTTCAATATTAGACTGACATTGGTCAGTAGCCAATCTGCGTGTTAGGGGCGTGGTTTTGCGAAGGGTCAATTGGTCGGAACCCTTTCACACGTAAGCTTAAAATATTCTAACTGATCCCCCAGCAGTGGCGGCTGGTGAAATATATTCTTGTGGGGCTGTGCCATGCTTTTTTGTTTCTGTTACCATCGCAATACAATTTAGCTCAAACTGCAGGACAGCAGTGCTCAGTGAAATAGTCTGTAATTATCTAATGCCAATATTAAAAAGTTGAGGCATTCTTACACAAAAACATATACATCATATTGCATAAACGCAAGCCTTTATATATATATATATATATATAAATAGTTTATAGGAAATTACACTGTATAAATGATGTATACTATAGAAATGGATATCAAGTGGCTGAACTCAAACCTTTGACTGGAAGAATAGCATAAAGTATTTTATTGATCAAACTAAATGTAACAAATTGTTAATGTGCTCCAGAACAAAACAACATACAGTAATATTATCATGCCCACGCAAGGCCAAGTCAAAAGCCCCATAAAACTTCACACAATCGATCATTTTGGATAAAATGTGCCTGTTTTTAGCCTTCCTACCTTCCTACCATCGTGTGATGACTCAGGGTGGCGCAACAGAGAAAAAAGTAGTTCCACAGGGTGAAAAAGATTCACGCAATAGAAAATGTATTACGCATACTCGTAGACCCCCCCCCATATATTTTTATTGCGGATCTACACAAATCACGTGGATGACCTATTTTAAAGTAAAAACGGCGAATTTCGCCGAAAGGTGACAAGTTTGCACCCCTGATAAAGGAGTGAAAACAGCTCTGGCGCTCCTAGTGTTAATTTGTGTAATACACGCCATCCAAACGTGGATATCTTGCTCTGCCTGGCTTTCTAAACTTCACCTAAAGGATCTGTGACAAGAAAACATAGAATCTTCTCTATCTAATGGCTATCTCCCATTTAAAAAAGCGAAAACATTAGAAGTTGTATATGCAATTGTATAAGGACAGTATACAGCGGCAAAAACAACTTTTGCAGGGCAGCAGTGCAGACATTTTTGAGTCAGACGGTAAATATTGCAGCATCAACAGCAGCAACCAGCATTCCCTGCCAGCCTGAATCAGTAGCCTGCACCCCCCTGCCAGAAGTGGCAACCAGCTCTTCCTCCTCTGCCCTAGCCCACAGAGGTTTAGCCTCTTCCTCCTCTTCCTGAGCTCGATGCAATATGGCCCTTATCCTTGATGTTTAACCGGTTCTTGACAGGGACCCAAATCTCAATTTCCGCCTAAAATGACCCAACCCAATCTAAATGGATATTGCTCTGGAACAGGACCATGTAGTGTCACGGTGTGTAGGTGGACAGAAGGACGAAGCCAGGCAGAGTAGCGGACAGCATAATAACTAGTTCTCTCAACGAGATTCCCAGGTACAGTCAACACGTAACATTGAACAATTCCACACAAAGACAAGACCAAATGTTTGGGTACAGCACATCCCTCGCTGGCACCCAACATCGCTCCTCCGGGCCGTACCCCTCCCACTCCACGAGATACTGAAGGCCCCCTCAATGTCCAGGGGGTGCGGGGGGAACTCCAGCAGAAACTCTGCCTACTCCCCCGGCCGGTCCTGACAATATGACCTCAGGAACCTCCCGAAATCTTGATTGACTCTCTCCACCTGCACATTAGCCTCTGGGTGGTAGCCGGAAGTCAAACTGACCGAGACCCCCAGGCATGTCATAAACGCCTTCCAGACACTAGACGTGAACTGAGGGCCCCGATCAGATACTATGTCCTCCGGCACCCCGTAGTGCCGGAAGACGTGTGTAAACAGGGCCTCTGCGGTCTGCAGGGCCATCGGGGTACCTCCCAGGGGCCGGAAGCGGCAGGCCTTTGAGAAACGATCCACAACGACTGTAGTGTGACCTTGGGATAGAGGGAAATCAGTCAGGCCATGGTCGCCGTGGAACGGGCAGAGGTTGTAACCCGCGGTGTCTAGGTGCCTAACACTGGGCACATACGGAACACGAGGAGAATAACAACCTCACATCCTTGGCCAGACCAGGCCACCAATATTTATTGGTATTGCAGCACACTGTCCGACCAATGCCTGGGTGACCCGAGGACATCGATGTGTGGGCCCAGCAGATGAGACGGTCGCGAACATCCAGCAGCATGTACCCACGCCCCTCGGGGCACTGAGGAGAAGATGGATCAGTGCGTAATGCCCGCTGGATGTCCGCATCCAGTGGTTAAAGTGGGATTTGGCAGGTGGGGGAACCCTCAAATTTTGTGTAGATGCAAGAGGGAAAAATGACTCACCGTGGGACAACAGAATGAGTATTTCAATACGTTTTGGGACAAGAGTGTGACAGTGGCACAAAGTATCACAATACTTATTTATTAGATATTTTAATGGTTTTACTTTTGTCTATGTACATCTACACTGATATGATTTACTACAGTAAAATTGCTGAACTCCGCAATATGGAAAACAACCTTGTCCAAAACTGACTCAAATTTAACACACCAAAATGGCTGAAGGCAACTATAACAGAAACAAATCACAACCTAGATCAGGGGTGGCCAACCAGTCAGACACTAAGAGACACATTTTTTTACTGTACCGCAAAGAAACACATCTTGAACATGGACAAAAATAATATTCAGAAAATAAAAGCTTAAAAACTATTTCAAAACACATGTAGCAGCTGGCGAGGGGAATCGAACCCGCAACTTCTGGTTCTTCAGCCAAACGCACTAACCACTGCACCAAAAGGACATATAGCGGCAGAGGCAAGTAGTAGCTATTTGTTATAAGTTGTGCAATTTGAGTTTTGATTACACTGCTGCACAGTCCCAGAATATGACGTAATTACGTCGGTAAGCGTGTTAGTGAAGGCGGGGCCACGGGGTGATATTACGTTTTGATTGGTCATTAAGCGTGTTTGTGAAGGTGGGGCCACAGGGTGATATTACGTTTTGATTTCGGAAAAACTAATTCAAAAGGAACACCAGGCTTGCTGCATTTTGACAGTGAACGCGATTTTTTTAACAATAGCCTTCCATCACCATATCATTGATATTATTGAACGTATTTATTTAATAATTTATCTGAGCCCACTTTAACCCCTGTCCGCATCTACCTCCCACATTACCGGTGCCACTATAGAGGAGGCAGGAAGAATAGGTGAGTTATCAACCTGCCTCTCCTCTCTGTCATATAATCGAGACAGAGCGCCTGCGTCTTCTTCGTGCCCAGAATGTACGATAACGTAAAATCAAACTGGGTAAAAAACTACGCCCACTTGGCCTGGCGAGGGTTAAGCCTCCTAGCAGCCCTTATGTACTCCAGGTTACGAAGGTCAGTCCAGACTACAAACGGGTGTTTCGCTCCCTCGAGCCAATGTCTCCATTCTGTCAGAGCTCTGACTACAGCTAACAGCTCCCGATCACCTACGCCATAGTTTTGTTCCGCCACACTGAGTTTCCGCGAGTAGTACGCACAGGGACGTACTTTGGATGGTGTGCCCGAACGCTGAGACAGTACCGCACCAATCCCAACCTCCGACGCATCCACCTCCACTATGAACGAAAGCGATGGATCAGGGTGAGCCAAAACCTGTGCAGATGTGAATAGCATTTTTAGTGCCCTAAATGCGCGGTCTGTCTTGTTCGACCAATGAATCCGAGATGGCCCCCCCTTCAACAATGATGTAATGGGAGGGTAATTTAGAATTTTGCAATCTTTGTGAAGAGGTTGTAATGGTAGTATAGGGTACTGAAAAATCCTGCAGACGGGACAGCTGTCTAGATTAGGTTAACCACTTCTTGACAGGCGGGGATCGTTGCAGTACCCTAAATAACCACTAGGGATACTTGCAGTACCCTAAACAACCATTACAACCTCTACACAAAGATCGCGAATTCAAAAACGCAGTTTAATAATATACTACATGCTTATATTGTCCATAAAGGTTAGAATCTCCCCTTTCTAACAACATTTTCTGTTTTAAAATAGCTAACACAGACCGTTTTATTAGCAAAAGGACAGCTAATTGCGCCGATGACGTCATCATTGTTGTAAACACTTTTTAATCAAAGCGATAAAATACGATAATATTGTACTTACATCAGCCAAAGTTTATCGTTTTTCATTTCCTATATTCGCAGGGATATTATTAGCAGCGTTTATGATCCATAATATTCCATAATATTCCGTATTCAGGCGAGACCAGGGGTCCGTTTCAAAAAGCAGGTTTAGTGAAAACTCGAAGTAAGTTAACCCTTAGATAAGGGAAACTCTGGGTTGTCTGTTTCAGAAAGGGAGGTAACTAAACCTCAGAGTCAGTCACTATGGTAATTGAGCCTGTGAACCTAATCTGGTCGGGAGCAGGTTTTCTTCAATATTTCTCCTCCCTCTGACATAGCGCTCTTTCATTTCCTCATTAATTAATTCAGTCTGTATCAGGTGCATTTTAGTGCAGTGTTGTCATCTGCATGCATAAAATAGGATTGATTTATTAACGTTATAGATTAAAAAAAAAAATTCTCGAACATGGCTTGTCCTTTTGTTACACGATCCTGCAGACGAAGAAGCGGTATTACTTCACAGAGTTAAACACGTCGGGAGATGATATTGAGGAAACCCGACTAGATGTATTTTAATTTCCAGATAACTTCCTATCTGAGCGGTATACTTTTTCTCCACAGTCTATCAGATGTGTACATAACCTTATCCATCCTCACTAATGTAACCCATCGTGGACATGCTCTTACATCCGAGCAGATTATTTGTGTCGCATTACGTTTTTTGCAAACGTGATTTTTAGGGCAGTATTAGTAGGTTACAACATATATTAAACGTGTTTGTAGTGTTCCCTGGACCCAAACCAGTGAGAGACATTAAATATGAGGTCCGATTGCAGGCGAATAACGTAAAACCCTTTACAATGAATAGTTATTAATTAAAATTCGGTTAATTACATGGTGCTGCAAGATCAGACTATTATAAATTATTAGAATTTATTTTAGGATTTCTTAATGCGATTGGCTGCATTGATGGCACACAAATGTATTTTTCACTCGCAGGATTGCACCTAAATGAAATAGATTATAGCTTCAATACCATTCCACCAGTTTTGTGATTAAATATGAGCATGGGTGTGTATTTCAGGCCTGTGTGTAGTTTTTTTTTTACAAACAGCGTGTAAAAAATGTAATTTCCCAACTGGGACATAGTAATAAGTATGAATTTAAATTATTGTGTAAATTAAAAATCAAATGCAAACACTATATTGGAACTTTGCGTTGACCCGACCACCATTTTTTTCCTAAATATGTGTTTGCTGTAAGCCTGAATCCGTATTTCAAGCTCAATTGGGGTGACGTATGCGGTAGTAATGCTAGTTGCCATTGTGACCCTTGGTCACTGTGTCTGAACGGGTCCTGGGCCCATTACAGGCAAGCAGTCACTACGGCAAACAGAGGTTTTAGCAAAGAGCTATTTATTTTATAAAACAATAAACCGTATGTGGACAGGTTGGCTGGCAGTGCCTTAAATAAAATAAATAATAATACACACAGATAACCAAAGCAATAAATCCCTCACCAAAAATACATAACCACCTTTCTCACTCAAAACAAACAACATGAATGGTACAAAAACAGTGACAAACGTCTAGCCGATTATCCCTCCCAGTGGGCAACGTCGCCACAGCATAAATAACACCTCCATATACACTCACGCTACAAACAGAAACACAAACAGTTATCGCTTGCAGCATGCCACCTCTCCGTAGCGCAGTCGGGGCAAGCGACCACTAAGACCACGGCTAAATAGTGACAAGGTGCAACTCATTACCTGTTCCCCTCCAGTACAAAAACCCCCACCTTGGTTCCGCCCACTTTGCCACATTCACCCCCCCAAACTTGGAACAGGGACCCCCTGTCTTGGCCTACCACTGAGCCCCGACCTACACCCAACTCTGCAATCTTACCCTCGGTCTACCACTCTGAGAATGGGCCAGCTCTGCCTGAACAGCCTCAATTCTCCCCCCTTGGTCCACCTTGGCTGATCGAGGCAACCGGAATGGGTTGGTGTTTAATCCAGCAGTTCTTCGCTCTGACCTCCTCAGTACCACAGGTGACGGGGCCCTCTCACTTCCCCCTTCATCATCCTCTTCCGACTCTGATGACACCACTGGTTCTACCGGGGCCGGACTACTGGCTATGACGCCTTCTGCTTTCCTTGGCTTGGCCCTGGTCTCTGGGTTTGTCTCCGTATCCCGTATCACTCTCCTCCACTCCCCATCGCTGCTGCTTTCAGAGTCCTGCTCTGCCGGTGGATCCTGCACAGGATGGATGTGTAGCCCAGGGCCACAGGGCCGCAACTCTGTACGATGAACATTCCTCGGGGCTTAGATGCATCCAGCGGTGCCACCGTGTAAACAGGCTTGTTGGGGCCCAGTCTTGCAACCACCTGATACGGTGCAGGCAGCCATAGGTCCTGAATTTTATTCCGCCCTGTGAAAAGCCTATTGCGCAGATAAACCAGGTTGCCCGGCTGTAGAACACTGTCCTTTGCTGGTGGTCCAGCACTCCTGCGGCGAGCCTCTGCCGCCTTCTCCATCTCTCTCCCAGCATCCTCATACGCCACTCTGAGCTTCCTTTGATGGTTCTGGACCCACTCAGTCATACCTCCCTGGGCCACATCTTGCTCCTCTCTTCCCAGCAGCACATCCATTGGCACATACGGGGCCCGTCCAAACAGCAGAAAATAGGGAGAATACCCTGTACTTTGGTGCTCCGTGGTGTTATAGGCATACACCAGCTCCGGAAGGTATTCTACCCACTTCCTCTTCTTTTCTGGGACCAGGGTACGGAGAAGATTATGCAATGTTCTGTTGAAACGTTCACATTGGCCATTTCCCTGAGGCCGGTATGCAGTTGTCCTACTTTTCCTCATCCCGTACAGCTGGCAAAGGGCCTGGACTACTCCTGCTTCGAAACACTTCCCTTGGTCTGAGTGAATTCGGGCTGGCACTCCGTATGGCTGAATCCAATGCTTCACCAGACACTTGGCAACTGTAATGGCCCGCTGGTCCCTCGTCGGCACTGCCACTGTAAACTTTGAAAAAACATCTGTAAGGACCAAAACATTCTCCCGCCCATCTGACGAGGGCTCCAGAACTGTAAAGTCCATTGCAATAATTTCGAGTGGCCTGGATGCTAACAAACACCCCAAGGCAGTCGCCACTCTCGGCTGCAGAGCTTTGGACAAAATACACCGGGTGCAGGACTTGCAATGCTCCTCCACATCACTGAACAGGTTGGGCCAGTAACACCGTTGCCGCACCAGACTAAAGGTTCTCTCCACTCCCTGGTGTCCATGGCCCTCATGCATGTGTGCCAGAACCCCCTTCCTCAGAGCCTTTGGTAAAACTAGTTGCCTCGTCGGCCCCTCTTTCGCATCTTGCCGCATCCGGTACAAGACCCCTTCACAGACCACCAACCTTTTCCACTGCTTCAGCAACACCAAAGTGTTGGACCCCTCTGCCATCCTCTCCACCTGGCTTGGCTTCTGCCCCCTCGCCCAGTACTTCCAGAAGGCAGAGATGACCGGGTCTTTCTTCTGCAGTGCCAACAACATCTCTGTACTGTAGGAAGGGAAGCTGGTAGTTACAGTGGATTCCGGGATAGCAAGGCTGGTTGCCACCTCGTAAGAGGTAACCTGATGTGGAGTGGAAAGAAACCCCTGTGTTGCTTGAATGCTCTGCTCCA